GCGGGAAGCCTGCTTCTCCCTCTCCCACTCCCGCTGCTTGTGTTCCCTCTCCCGCTGTATCTCTCTCTCTGTCAAATAAATAAAATCTAAAAAAAAAAAAAAAAAGGTTTAGAAAATATACTTTAATCATTACCACATCCCCATGAGATAGGTAACCATTACTATTATTCCCATTTTACAGATGAGGAGACTGAGACCTAGAGAGATCAAATTATTTGCCTCAAATTGCATTACCAAGAAGCACAGAGCCAGGCTTCAAACTCAGGTAGTCTGTGTCACACCACCACGCTAATGAGTAGCACTGGGAGATCTCCAAGAGTACACTGTGTTATTTGAACTTGCTTCTATAGGTCTGACTCCTGGTTTAATTGCTACTTTATGTTGCCAATTTGTTTTTTTAATCTGTTTGCAGTTTCACCTGAGTTTAGAATGTATCACTCAGAAACCACAGTGATCATTACCTATAACTAAAATTAGGTCAACCAGGTTCAGATACAAATCCCCTATATTTACTAATTAAAATAACTGCTGAATACATTTACTAATTTTATTTTTTAGAGGTGCTCATTGCTTAATTACTACAGGGCACATCTACTGAATATACTGGGGAATACTTGTACTATTCTCTGACACTCTACAAAACATTAAGGGGTATTTAAAAAAAAAGTCCATGAAAACACGTGATTTAGTTCTTTTTAGACTATTATCTCTTCAAGGAGATGACAGTGACCTACAGTAACCAGCACATTTTGTGCCCTCCACAGATCCAAGTCCCTCTTTCTATGGGTTCCCTTTACATTGTATTTTGTCACTGAAAAGAGAACATGAAAATGTTGTAATCTGTAGCTGATAAGAACAATTGCAACAAAAGGTACCCTTGCTTAGAGTTCTAGAGAGGGAAGTGATCCAGTCAAGATTTGGGGCTTGTGCACAGAGCTGTGACCCAAATTAGACATCTGAACTGCTGGTCAGGAGGGCAGTGAGCAGAGTTCAGTACAGGGGTGTCATTTATGTATCTTTGGAATATCACTGACTGCATTTGAAAGTCATGTTAGAAAGGATATTGGCTGGTTTGGGGCTTCTCGTGTTATCTGTGTCTCTTCCCCTCTCCATTATGGATAACTGAGGTTTTAAATTGAGGTTTTAATAAACAGCAGTGACATTCTAGTAGATGAAGGAAGGGGGCAGTCCCCGAGGGCAATCTGAACTTCTGCTTAGTATATTTACTCTTGCTGTTTTCCTTCCTCCTCATTTGTAATTCAGGAGGCTCTCTGAGAAGAGAGAGACAGCGAGGCTTGAGGCTTCTTAGATGGATCGAAGGATCACGAGCTGGGATACCAAGTTCTATGAAAAGGTCTGCTATTGAATTTGCTCTACCTTTAGGCAAATCATTTGATTGTGCTGTGCTTTGGTGTCTTCCTGTGCTTGCTAAGTGTAAATAACATGTATTTGACTATTTTGTGATTATTATAGAGTCTTTTAAATGTGTGGGTGATTTATTTTTCCAGGCCAGCTGCTCAGGTATAAAATGAAAATCTGCTCCTTTGAGATGCTAGGCTCCATGGCCGTCAACTGACCTCCAAATCCTTGAGTGCAGCAGCTGTCTAGTTGCTTCTTGTTCATCTGACACAGTTTGCAGTCTCTGAGCTGTGGCTCCTCAGGTTTACTCTATAGTTGGGGGGCGTACCTTTTTGTCTCCTTTGTTTTCAGGAATGAAATATGTCACTTTACATACTCTTGCAGCTTTCACCCTCCTCCCCACCCCCTCTAAAAATATGAAGGCTTTCTTTTGGCACAGAGCTGCTTTATCTGACACTGATTTCAAGAGATAGCGGGAGAGGTGACCTGGTAAACAAACTGAATTCTTTGGACTGGCTAATATACTTCCCTTTTGATGACGTGGGCCAGGACCACTAGAGGTTTGAACTAGATTTAGGAAGGTTCCGGCTCTTTGCAGTTTTGGCAGGAAGCAGTCAGGGAGTATACTGAAAAGAGAGAACACAAAGTATCCTCCCCCTTTCCCGCCCCGTGTTTTTGTTAGTTATATAGCCTACCTCACATTAGGCAACAAGACGTCCCCGTTAACCAAAAAGTGCGGAGCTGAGATTCTTAGAAGCTACTAAAAATGTTTGTGGGTAAAGGACGATTTTGTTCCTCATCAGTGGATCACCATACCACTGTTTCACAAATGACAATCTCTGAAGAGCAATATTGGAGTAAACGGAAAGGCTTGTTTCTTTGGAACTATAATAAAATGTATTTACATTATTTCTAGTGCAGTGAAATTAAAAGCAGTTTCTAAACAAACCTGGAAAGGTGTTGAAGCTAGAGAACCTGTGAAGTATGTTACTCCTTAGTTGTAGCTTGGTTGTAGCAGCAGGAAGAACTTCAGACACGGGAACACAGGGTAACCCTTCAGTTCTGAAACGTTGCTAAGTCTCCTCGTGCTAGAAATGATCAAAGGAACATTCGGCTAAATGACTGCTTCCAGAGCTGAGTTTAAGAGTGTTGGGTCCAACTTCCGCCTGTTAGTTCAAGGAAACTAGCAGCAAGGGACTCTGATTTGGGGGGGGGGGGGGGCTGGTCTTCATTTTTGGGCAGGGTCGTCAGTACATCAAAATATTACTTGCAGGTGTCCCAGCTGCAGTAGCTTCCAACAAAGGCAGAGCTTTCGCTGATGCCTCTTAGAAACATGTAGCCAGCAACTTGCCAGCCTCGGGGGACAGGACTGGGAGGAGGGGAGGGGTTGGTGATATCCTTCCCCCCCCCCCCCAGATTCCTCCGGAGCAGGGTGGAGGCCCTAGGGGTGGGGGTCTGGCTCGTCGGCTCTAAATGTAAATAGGAAACCACGCAGCCGAGCCAGTGACAGTTAAGAACTGGCAGCGTCCGTCCCAGGCAAGGTGTTGGTCTGACAGTACGGACGTACGAACGGCAGGAGACTCCCCTCTCCTCACCCCCGGGTCGATCTGCACAACCAGGTGGAAGTCCTGCCGGGGCAGTGGGAGGATGAGGCGCCCAGAGGCAACGACTAAAGCGAGGAAGGACCAGAAGACCTAAGGGCACCACTTTGGAGGGACCGGACGGTTTCAGGAACTACCTTCTGAAGTATCGCCCCTACCCTAAGAAAATTAAAATCATCTCCGCCATTACATGGAGCCCCAGCCCAGACGGAAGGCGGGGACGCGCGCCGGCCGAATGCGCGCTCCCTTTGTCCCGCCTCCCGGCCCGAGGCTCAATGAGCCGGGGAGCGCGCCCCGGTCTCTCCTACGTGCTCCGGGTGGAAACTGGCGCCGGCGGCGGCGGCGTTCCGCGGGCGGAAAGGAAGGGGGAGGCGGGAAGGCTGCGCGCCGCCCGCTCCTCCCCACCCCCCGCCTCGGCCCTGAAGGGGCTGGATGGGCAAGTTGGGCGCGATGGCTCGAGCCCGGGCGGCGGCGGCGGCGGCCGGAGGCGGCGGCGCCTCCTCCTCCTCGCCCCGGCGCCGGCGGTGATCCGAACGAGCGGCCGCGGCCCCCGATGAGACTGTTCGTGGGCTGGCTGTGCCTGAGCCTGGCGTCCGTGTGGCTGGCGCGGAGGATGTGGACGCTGCGGAGCCCGCTCACCCGCTCCCTATACGTGAACATGACGAGCGGCCCCGGCGGGCCGGCGGCGGCCGCGGGCGGCAGGAAGGAGAACCACCAGGTACGCGGCCGGCAGGGATCGGGCCCGGGCAGTGCTGGGGCGGGGGCGTGGCGGCCCGGCCTTCCCGCGCTCGGCCCGGCTATTGTGCGGGGCGCCGCGGCGAGAGAGGGCCACCCGGGCCGTCGCCCCCGCCGCCTTGGCCCTTCAGAAAGTTTTCCCGACGTCTTCCCGGCCGGGCGCTGCGGCCGCCACCCCCGGGCGCTGGGCCCGGGGCCCCGCGGCGCCTTTTGTTCCCGGGCGCGGGCGGAGAACGGCCTCCCCGTTCCTCCCGGGGCTCCAGGGTGGGCCCCGGAGCCCCGCATTGTTCCCGGCTCCCGGGCGGTGATCGCAGGCGCCCGGCCGCAGGGCGCAAGAACTTTGGGGCGGGCGCGTGGCCGCGGGCATCCATCTGGCCCCGGGGCCTGCAGTGTAAACGACCAGACCGAGCCCATTACCCTGGACTGCCTTCGTAACCCCCGGGAATCAAAGCGAAAAGCCGGTCCCTCTTTTTGTCTGGTCGAATCTCTGAGCATACAAAGGGCCATAAAGAAATTTAACCCTGCATCGTGAGCCGTTTAACTCTCCGGGCTCATTCGGGTGACATTTTCCCTCGGCAGTTAAAAAAAAAAAATGTGTTTGACAGGTCCTCACACTCCCATCCTCCTGCACCTTCCCCCTCCGACCTAAGAGAGATCTTTAAACTTCGGTGTTGGTTATCTGACAGGAAAGATGTGGTTAGAAAATAAGATGATGCAAGCTTTTCCTGGAAGGGTTTTTTAAAAACAGAATTAGGCAGGAGTGAATTCCTTTCAGAGTTGCGGATCGTGAACCGTGCGAGGTGACTGGTTAGGTCTTTTCATTAGCTGAGTTTTGTGCCACTTAACAGAAGTATGTGCTGGTCAACTGCAGAATTAAGAGTGATATTTCATTTTTGACCGTAATGTAGTTTGTGGTTAACCTTGGATTCATTGAAAGGAGGCTTTCGAACTCTGCCGGAGTGTTGGCTTGTAATTGCTAGCATTTATAGTGCATTTTGCCTTTCCAGAGAGCAGTAAGCGATTATTCCCCATTTTGTGTCTCATCGTTTTCATAGATTTCTCATTTTCCTATGTTAGGTTTCTTATTATGCCAGGCGTTCAGAGAGTTTACACTGGGGTGGATTCCGTGTATTCTAATGAAAGTAAAGAATTATCTAAGGACATAAAGCAATTCATTAAGAAAAGTAGTGTTTAGTTTTTATCTAGTAATTACTGATCGTGGCCCCTTTTCTATTTTTAAAGGAAATCATAAATTTCTATGAAATTTTTTGTGATCCCACAGCTATTGTAATTTGTTAGGTAATCATGCCTATGATATTGTTAGGAGTATACTTCAAGTCAGTAGGTGATCTTCAGTTGTAAAACCACATTCTTTTCAACGGGTTAATTACTTAACACTAATCATTCTCAGAGAAAACCCTAAAGCACTGCAGTGATAATATACAGTTACCAGAATGTCACATAGCCATATGGAATATGGATGGTGGTGTAAAACAATGAATTAGAAACGTCATTTTCAATAATTGGTAGAAATAAGGTTCTGGGTAGGATAAAAAGGAGGCAGGATTACGGTTGAGTCTCTTAGCTGTAGGTGTTTATGACTCCTGATTATGTCTACTATAACACACTTGATACGTTTTCACTGCTTATGGAAGAATTGGTTATATTTTAAAAATTGAAAAGCTGTTTAAGTAGTTTGTTTTTCTGGAATCTAGGTAGACTATAGCTGTAGACAATGCCTCACAATATCCCCTAACAGGAGGTACTTTCTAATTTGTACCTTTTTAAAACTGAATCACTTAGATTCTGAGGAAAACTGATACTGGTTTCAGATACCTCCTTTACTTTGTTACACTTCTGAGATACTCAGGTGTGTGTGTACACAGGTGTGTTTTAACCAGTTGGACTAACAGTTTGGCAGCTACGTTCTCCAAGGTGAAGACTAATCTGGTACTTTCTGAATATGTAGCGGGGGGGATTGGACCTTTTCCTTAGAGTGATCAATCCAGAGGTTATTTTGAGGTGATGCGTTGACGTTATGAAAATATTGCCCATGAATAAAGATTAAAATGAACAAAAGAAATGTGTGTGTAGAAACCACAGTGAGATAAAGTGAAAGAGGGGACTCTCCCCTCTGCAGAATGCCTGTGTTGATGATTTATATTCCAGGATCCTAGGTTTGCCTTACAAACTTTCTGACTTGTGAAGTAACTTGACTCTAACATTCTTTCCCCCTTCAAATTTATAGTTTCATGCAAGGTTTTCTGGTGTTCATTTGGGTGTGTGGGTTCCATAGCCAGCCACATCTGGTTCTTTTGGATTTGCATGAAAGTGGGGTTATGGATTTAATTGAACCGTACTTAGCACAAGTTTTCTTTATGGTTATTTTATTAAGAAATTATGGTGGAGGATTCTCTGGTTAAAAGAGAGGTCTTGGGAAATGTTTATCATTAAAAATTAGTTACTATCGCCTGGAGATGAGATGCAAGGCTCCTTTGAGCTAAAGTCGCTCTAAAATAGTAGGAGCAGCACCATTTTAATAACTTGGTTGGGTGTGCTAGCTTCAAAACTGGGATTATTTTTCACTTTGGGAAAGGGAGGAGCAAGGAAGGGCTTTTCTTAGAGCCAGGATATGGCTTGCAGGCCAAATTGGGCTCACTGACCTTTGATACAGCCTATGAAGGCAGATTAGTTTTACATTTTTAAACGGTCGCAAAAAATATATAATATTTTGTAATATGTGAAAATTTCTTATATGAAATTCAGATTCCAGTGTCTACAAATAAAGTTTTGTTGGCATAGGGCCACCACATTCGTTTACTTGTCTACAAGTGCTTCTGCGCTGCAGCGGCTGACTAGCGTGGTTGGTACTTTATGACCTACAAGTGGCCCCTTCTAGAAAATGAGTTTTCCCCAAAGAAACTTTCCAGCTTCCTTCATCAGCAGCACATTTCTTAATCACAGGTTGCACAGTGGATAGTTTGACTCATTGGGAAGAAATAGAGCCAGGCAGTGAGAAACTAGATATGTCACTTTTCAGTATTGGCAGGCTTGGAACTTAAAAAGAAGATAGCAACAACAAAAACTTTGGATCTAGTGTTTTTGATGCATTGTACCTACTACTTAGTTAATGCAGCTATTACGGAGCTACTGAAACTTGAAAGGACTCTAAGGCCCCACTCTAGGTTCTTGATAATAACAGTCATTCAATAGTTTCTGAGTCGATGGAGCAAAAAAAGAATTGTTATGGGACTCTGTGGAACCAGGCCAAGACAGTTTCTTCAGGTGATGTACTGTAAGGATTTTTAAGAGCACAGGTAACATTGGTTATCTGGAATTAGTAAGGTGTAACTTAAAATTGCAAGTTTGTGTATATCTGCCTTATTTTTTCACCTTTTTATGTAAGTTCAGAACTGTGTTATGTTACAAGCAGTGATAAGATTTAAGATAATTGAAACGATTGTTTTTTTTCCAAATTAAAAAAATACTTGGACATCACAGCCATAGGTCAAAGGTTGCGCTGTGGACAGGTCCGGCCTCCTGTCCCCTCACTCATTTAGTCGTGGAGGCTGACCAAAGTCAGGCATGAGTTAACAATGCTCAGGAGCAGTCGCCAGCTAGCCAGATGGACACTGGTGGATTTGTGTCCTCTTCTGAACTGCCTTCCAGAACCTGGAGGCCTTTCTAGCTGAATACCAAAGAGGTTTTGTAAAGAGTTTCTTTCCTTATAATCTGTGTTGAAACCCTGTATAAGTGTTTGCCTCAATTTCACGGAACACTAGGATCTCTCTCTTCTGCTGGATATACCAGAGGCCTTTATGTTCCCCTTTGAAGGTGCTTGAGGGCACCCTGGTAATTGCCAGTAAAAAACAGTTGTTTAGACCTTCTGAAGCTTTGGTAAAATCTTAGGATTATAAAATTCTAGCAGTGAGTGACTATTTGAAATGAAAATTGCCAATAATTTATTTATTAAATCAAACCTGAAACAACTTAATCTAATCCATATGAATTGTTTCCCTACAAGGATGTGAGGGTGCCCTGTCATTCACATCTCACATAAAGAGGTTGAAAATCTCACATAAAGAGGTTGTTGGTTTAGGTTTGTGTCTTTTGTGGAAAAACAATGAATGGTTTGAAGATTTACTCTTACGCTGTGCTTAGCTGCAAGAAAGTGTCAATGATTGAATGTCTGGACTGATAGGACTCATTGCAGAACTTAGAATGTGATTTTTGAATCCTTAGCTGTCAGGTCAGTGTCGTCAGGCCTGGCCTGACCACCCCCGGTAGTAGAAAAGATTCTGTGTTCATGGATCCCATCAGTGGAGCCTTTCCAATTGTTTTTAGTGGTATAAATGCCTCAGGTCTTTGGTTACTCATTCCTTTTGAGAATGGCTGGGTGCCCAGACCTACAGTGTGGCTTTTAGGCATTCCCTTGAACTTCAGTTCTCTGACTGACTTTTGTGGGCCTTGGACAGGAAGGGGAAGGAAATCAAGTTATTGTGCTTCTGTTGTGTGCCAGACGCTTTAATGTATCATCCTCTCTCATCTTCATAACAACTCCCAGAGGTAGGTGCTACACCCCCTTTTTTGATAGAAGATTGAGCCTAAGAGAGATAAAACTTGCTCGGGAGACAGTTGGTAGGTGGCAGATTTGGGTTTTGACCCCAGCTCTGTCTGGTTTCAAGGCCCAAGCTTTCCCCACCTTTTCATGATGTCTGTCCTAGGAAACTTTGTGTTGTCAGAGGGTCTGTGAAAGTAGGCTGCCTCCTTAATAGGTAACTGCCTCCACTGTAGTGGACCTCTGTGTAGACACTGAAGCTATGTAACTATACAAAAATACCAGTTGGAGTTTTGCAGCTTGTGAGTTAGACAGGGATGGGACAACTGTTCCACGTTTTGGCCTTCATCCAGTTTGTGCATGCTTTGGTCAAGCTTAATGTTGGAAAAAAAAAAATCTTACCTATGGTGTCTTTTTTTCTGACA